ACCTTGCAAGGCACTCTGATTGACCAAAGTCGCATATTTTGTCTGAAACATGAAAAACGTAATCACTTTACCTTACTCTGCAGTACAAACTGAAATGTGTAAATACTCAGTACGCATCTACAGAGGCCAGGGGCGTATACACACCTACAGCTGCAAACTTGGCAAGTAGTATGCATCTATGGCTATTCACACACTCTGCAAACTGAAGTGTGAACATAGTACACTCTTATTAGAGCATGCTTGCAAGTACACTCTTATTTACAGCATACTTGCTAGGCACACGCTAAAGTAGAGTGTACCTTACATGTACACGCTAAAATACACTCGATTAGTCCTATCTCAAAGGGCCAGTTTTAGTGTACTTGCCAGGTACACTCTTAATTAGCGTGTACATGCAATGTACACTCTATTTTAGCGTGTGCCTAGCAAGTATGCTGTAAATAAGAGTGTACTTGGAAGCATGCTCTAATAAGAGTGTACTATGTACACACTTCAGTTTGCAGAGCACGCTACAAATGCATCTGCCGCGAGATCCACTGAGTATCGCACATGCATACTTGGCAAATAGGATCCATTTGTAGGTCTGTACTTGCAAGTATGCTCCTGTAGATGCATGCTGAGTTCACACTTCAATTTTGTAGTGTGGGCACTGAGAAACGACGGTAAAACCAAAACTGTGTTATATCCTTTACCCTCTTTGGTCGGCTGGACTAGTGCTGCCTTCACAGTGAAAGGAACGCACCCGCAGAATTGTTTCACAGCAGCGTAAACAAGTTTAGTGACGCAGCGGGATGGAGAATAACTGAGAAATGAGTATACGAATTGGTTCCCCCAGTAATGGATTTATGTGACATGCATTTCACCAAGGGGTCAATCTGTTTAAGGAAGGAGGAGGTAAGTCTCACAATCTTGGGTCAGAAACGCCTGTTGAAAAGCAAACGGCGCAACGAAATACTAGAGAGTTCCAAACAATCGAACACATTCAAACAAAGTGTGCAGCCTACACTGCTCAACTGGCTTACAGTTAGATACTCTCAAATTCTTTCTGGCCCTTTTCTTTGATAGAGACTTAAAGACACTCAAGAAAGTCTGATACACTGCAAATAGGTTGTTCGCAACACCAAAACTGAGCGAATTACACTAAAAAAAACTCATAACCAGCAAAATGGTTGGAGCAAAGAGGTAACGCTTGAATGAGTATTGTGCATTGACTTAACTTTATTTTTGCAAAATTCCATCCTAAATTGTTGGCTTCTATGTTTTGTCATCAGAAACAAAACGATTTGCGCATCGACATGCCTTGCCCCTACACACAGGACCCAACTTCCTGCTTAGTATTACTTTACCTGATGAGGGCCCTGTCAAAAACCTTGCAGCCCCGAATCTGCTCCGGGATGCCTTCCAGGTCTGGGCCTATTACAGTGGCCGAGGATGAAAGCCAAACGCGAACTTCATCTCTTGGAGACACTTTCACGAACGTGTCACTGGTCGGGCCAGTCATACCTTTTGGCGAGGACGTGCTGATCTGGCGAATGAACACACGAATGAAATATAAAGGGACAAACGGCATGAAGTCAGTCAGTGCGGGGAACGATCAAACGCTAGGACCTCTGGCAAAAATGTGAACTCACAAAAGTACTTAATAGTTCACAAACATTTTCGGTAAGTCCTTCGGAAGTTCGCAGAGAACGGCATAGTTACCTGCAAACAGTACTCTACAACAAATCGAAGAGCGTACTGTACGCTTTAACTGGAGAATGCTTGCAAGCACGCTCTAGCTAGCGCATGCCTGCCAAGCATGCACTTACTAGTGCATACATGCCAAGCACGCGCTAACTGAAGCACGCATCTAGTGCATAAGGGATAGGGAGTTCACGCAGAAAAATGCTTAGCGACGGCTGCTAACTCTTAACTCCCCTTGCTAATAATCTTAGCTGTATATGGACAGCTAATACCTTAGCACCAGTTGCTAATATTCTTAGCTGGCACATATTAGCAAGGTAGCTAAGGCCTTAGCAAGCAAAACTAAGTCAGAAAATTTTCGGTATTCGAACTTCAGACTTTTACTTGCCGACTTGTTACCTTTCCCCTTCGGCTACTGCCGTTCCTTCTCTGGAGAGGAGTAGGGAGGACTCATATCCTACGCTGGGGTCGAATGATCAGTCAATAGGAGCTTAGCGCCAGCAGCTAATTTATTAGCACCACCGCTAAACCTCTTTGCTAAGATTTTAGTCAAGTCTTGCCAAGTTGTGTTAGCTTCCGCTACTAAGTCTGCACAATGTAGCTAAGGCTATTAGTTTCTTGTGCTAAGTCTCTCTGGCTAAGGTACATTAGCAGGTCAGCTAAGTTATTTTTCTGCGTGTTGCCTGCATCAGGAAGCGTGTACATGGCATGTATGCACTAGTTAGTGCATGCCTGGCAGGCATGCGCCAGCTAGAGCGTGCTTGCAGGCATGCTCCAGTTAGAGCATACAATGTACGCTCTTCTATTTGTAGAGTACACAGACTGGAGTATGAATTTACAAAGAAAGCTTTGGAAAAATTCTTGCCAGAGGCACCTTTTGTTCTCCTACATTCCTTCTTACAGTGCGCCAATATCACAGCAACTTCTCCCATCCCACAACGTGTCATCAAAACAGAAATTAATGTTCATGACGCTCTTGTCACGTAAGCTAATCCGTCTATTTTCATCCCTCTTCGCATTTTAAACACTCACCCAGAGGCCGGCGCCGGAACCAGCGAAGGTAGTTTTGAGCACCATGTTGATGCCAGACGCGTGTCCTGAGACGGATGCATACCGAGGAGCGCAGGGTGGGCCCTTGCTATCGATGGAGCTGCGCACAGTACACGGCGACCTACACTCTTAAAGTCTTACGAAGAAACCCGACACCATTTCTTTACGAAGCAAACAATTTTGTGTCACATATTTTTGGAGCCAATTTTCCTTCGTAATAACATGGGGCATTATTTCCTTACACCAAAAAAAGGACTCGTAATGTAAACAAATTTAGTTAGTTTATCATGTTTTCACAAATTTCTTCGTACAGTATTGCCAAAAAATAAATTGTCAGAAATTAAGGGAAGCCTTTGTCAAAGAAGTCTCATCATCTTACTCTCAGTACCGTTGCTCACTTTGTACTGCGTTCTTCTTCGTAGTTTCAGAGCTCAAACTGCTTTTGCAACAATTTTATTCATTGCTTACTTATTGGTGCTTTGCTAACATTTTGAGGTTTTAAACAGTTTTTGCACAGTAAATTGTTTATATTGGCGACGGCAATGGCATGATGTTATTGAATATTTTGATAATTATGAACAATTAGTCACTTGGAGTTATGACGGGATTTCGGCAAAATCGTAGTACTATGAAGATATCTGCTTTCTGCAAGTTACGCACCAGTGGAGATGGCTGCTAACATGGGTAACGTTATAATTAAACACGTAACACCATCGGTCGAGACGAGGTTGGAATTGAAACTCTGTGCAGCAGTCGATGTCTTGAGAATGCCACTTGCAGTGCACCATCCAATCCTCACATTTGGGAAACGCCTGCCAAATGAATACTTTCAATGATTAGAGCTGTTTTGATGATTCCACGGATGCGCCAATCGTGGTAGGCGTGGCATGTTACCTCTAGCATGATCGACTTAAGATCCAGCGAATCCACTAGATGAAGTCTGCTGCCCAACGATACTTTGGCCAGTTCCAGGAAGCTATAAATGAGCGGCCAGTTCGGGTACATCATGAATCCAAGCACCCCGCAGACAGCGTCCACGGCCCTTTCCTCCGCACCGGAAATTGGTAGGGTTAGATTTAAGGCCCTGAAACGAAGCAGTAAGTACAACTGCTGCTTCCTGAAAGCAGGAAGGTAAAGGCCGCCGTTTAGAGACACTTAAATTGCGACTTCTAGTGATGTATCCCTGCACAAATACCTTTCACTGCGAGAAAACAAATGCACGCTACATGTTATGTACGAATTCGTACGAGACAACACAGTTTTTTCTTGTGCTGATGAACTTTTTGAACAATTTTTGTACAAAAACTGAACATATTTCCTCATTTTTGTGCAAAATCGCGTACTAATTGGCGTAGTAATATTTCAAACGATGATAATTGTTAATCTGAGATAAACTACCCCTGTAGGATGTTTAGGAGACATCAGGCGTGAAATTTGGATACTAATCGTTAAGGGGAGGTTCTGGTGAAAATGTTATTTTCTCCTAAATAGGTCCCATTGTGAAAATTAGTTAAAAATTTGATGTCTTACCAAGTAATTAATAAAAATTTTCATTGGGGACTCACATTCTATGCCCTGAACCCAGTCGAAGAGTCTTTTTGAGCCTATTTTGGCTGTAACTTTTAAAACCTTCTTGCGCATACTATTTTGTCGTAAAAGGTTGGCCTTGACATTTTTCACTTCTTCGATTCATTTGTAAAAAATGCCGGCATGCACAACTCAAAATGTAAATAACATTTTCATTCGCAAGCTTTCTAACCAAGCATTTCACTATAATTGATCAAAAAAGTAGAAAATAGACAAATTTTAGGGACTTTTCAGCTTTCCGAACAAATTATGACACTGGGATCCATTTGGGAAATGGCAAGATTTTCATCAGAACCACCCCTTAAGTAGTTGCTGAGAAACGTGAGTGATTACATACAGACAGACGTACAGACAGACGCACGACCAGTCACTTTTTGGAGCGCCCAAACACGGCAAGGGCTTCGCTATCGCTCAGCCAATAAAAAATTAAGTTCACACACTAGATCCCTTTCACAACTTTGTACGAGGTCCCGCACGATTTTGTACGCGATTTCGCACGACTTTGTGCGATTCCGACTACAAATTTGTGCTAAAAAGTTTGTAAGTTTAAAATTGAGTGGGAGTACGTCGTACAAAATTACAAGTACTGTTTGTGTGCAAGATTTGTTGGAGTTTTGTTGAAGCCTTTTCCAGCAGTGTGTGTCTAAGGAGCAGCCGCCAGTGATGGCCGATCTTTGGACCTACCGCACTAGAGCATCCCGGACGACGTCCTTCCTGACTGGGGCTTCGGGGCAGATGGCAACTGCTGGGAAGGGCCGCTGGTCCAGCAGCACGCGCGTCGACACCAAGCGGACCTCCGTCTTCCCCTCTGTGAACTGTGGCCACAGGAACCCCGAGAAGATGGCCATGGCGGTGGCCGATGACATGACTGCCAACGACCAAATGACCCTGTCGTGTGACCAACTGAGTTTAAATCAGTTTTCTCGAAATCAGTCTTGTAAGGGATCAGGGATCAGACAAGGTGGAACGATCAAAAATGACTCGGACTCGTAAAAACTTTAGCACCGTTCTCCTAAACGTTAATGAACAAGGTACCTCCTCAACCCATTCTTCACAATTTTGAGTTCCGAAGTATTGGACTCACACTGAATCCATTTCAACAGATGGTCCACTGAGCATTAAACGAAATAAACTGCGCAAGTTGAACAAAACTTCGGGACAGGAAGAGTATGAGGCACGACGCACGACTGAAAAACGGATCTATCCAGGACAGTTGTTTGTGAGTATTAAGGAGTCCCGATACAGGCCTCAGACCTCGCACATAGTACTTGATTTGATCGGAATCTCAGTTTTCTGAGCATTTTTATTAAAGTTATGAAGTTGAAATCAAGGCAGTGCAAGGGTCGAGCCGAAACGCTGATCGTTCTAACGTCAACCTTACCTTGGTGTGACAGCGCCCGTCAAGGTGTATCGAAGGCCGTGAATGCTGCTGAACTCACAAATGTCGCGCAACACCAGACGGAGGCCCTGCCGGCGGGTCGGCCTGGTCGCCCCCTTTCCATAGCTGAACATCTCGTCATCCGACGGTATGCCCGATTTCAAGAGAGAGTACGGACTGGTCAAGTACCTACAAATCAGCAAGAATTTCACCAAGGTATTTTTAGGCACGAAGTAGCCTTATAGTATCCCCCAGGATTCAGCCTCGCTGGGATTTGATCGCGTGGCCCCTTATGCAAGTCGAAACCTCTCTGTACGATTTTGATGAGATTTTGCAGACTGGTAGAATTCTGAGACGTGATTTCAATTCTGGAATATGGTTGAAATCTTAGCGATAAATTTTGAGAAAATTGCCGTCAAAATCACTGTTTCCATAGCAATAAGCTCGACTCGTCAACGAAAAGGGAAGAGAGAGGGGGGAGCCGAGCCAAACCCAACCAATAGCATGGCTCCTTTTTGCTTGTGTACAGGTTACCCCAAAAACGGTCGCTTCTTTAAAAAAGGACGTTCGAATAAAAAAACTTTCCGCGACCGTGATAGAACAGATGTAACAATAGCACAAGAGGATTTTTTGGACGCAGTCTTTTCATTGGCACTGCCTGATGAAAATTTTTAATGGGAATGTCTTTGCTCATGCGCGGAACATTACACAGTCATACCAACATGGAAACCTACACTCATTGTGAGTTTTGTGTTTGTTTTATTTTCAATGTGTATTTTCTACCACAAAATTAATCTGTTTAAACTAGGGGTACGCGCCGTTTAGTTTCGGCGCGTAGTAGGCGAGCGATGCGTCTGAACACATTCTTATAGGAGATGGCGAAGAATATGTGCAGAATAAGGCCAATACAGTGTCTTCCGTAACGAAAGGGCCGGAATTCATGTCATTTTCGTGATTATCTTACTGAAAACTGCAGGAAATAATGGGAAACTCAACTTTGAAATTTTGGTCACAGATTGGTAAATTTCGGGAAAAGTAAAGGTCTGGGATGAAATTGTATGTCATTTTCATGATCAGCACACCAAAAACTGCAGGAAACTATGTAAAACTCAACTTCAAAATTTTGGTCCGAAATAGGTAAATTTTGGGAAAAGTAAAGGTCTGGGATGAAATTGGGTGTCATTTTCGTGATCAGCACACCAAAAACTGCAGGAAACTATGTAAAACTCAACTTCAAAATTTTGGTCCGAAATTGGTTAATTTTGGGAAAAGTAAAAGTCTGGGATGAAATTGGAAGTCATTTTCGTGATCAGCACACCAAAAACTGCAGGAAACTATGTAAGACTCAACTTCAAAATTTTGGTCCGAAATTGGTAAATTTTGGGAAAAGTAAGGGTCTGGGATGGAATTGGGAGTCATTTTCGTGATCAGCACACCAAAAACTGCAGGAAACTATGTAAAACTCGACATGAAAATTTAGGTCCAAAATTGGTATATATTTGGAAAAGTGAAGGTCTGGGGTGAAAATAAAAGTCATTTTTGTGATTAGCACACCAAATACTGCAGGAAACAATGACTGACTCACTGGGGAAATTTTGGTCCAAAATCATATAATTCTAGTTGAAAGTATGGGTCTGCAGTTGTTAACATGAACGCAATTTCTAAGTGTGTATCCTGTTCATGGTGTCGTAACATGAACCCTGACACTGTTACTCAGTCGAGTAACATTCAACAGTCAGCATTGAATTGCTTAGTACGATTCACAAATGCTTCAATTACCATTCGATATCTCCTCGTTATTAAACTTATGAACACGCTATGTTATTTATAATACCTAAAAAACCTTTTATCTCCCTTATATTTTAAACTAGTGGATGAAACTATGTTGATTTATCTCAATTAATTAAAAAGAGACACATTTACAGGCAGGCTGATTGCAACTACTTTACGGAGAAGACCTTCTGTCAGATCCAATGAATCGTTTCATGGAATCCAATGTCGAGCCCACTTATTGCTAAACGCAAAATAATCTTATTCAAAATGATAGTCATGATGTGATATTTAATTTTTGAAACAGTATAGGATAAGTATTTACCTAACATTCTGAGTAAATTAAAAACTCAAACCATGACCGATACAAATTACCAGTTGTCGCAGATAATATATGATGAAGTTAAAAGAATCGTCTCATGAAATCATATGACCAAGTCACTGAATCGTCTCATTGAATCAGATGTCAATGTCAAACCTTGTATGCGCTACACTCACTCACCATATAGTTATCTTTAAGGTTAGTACTATAGTAAACTTACAGCATTGCAATGAAGCCTTTTCCCAGAGTCAGCAAAGACTATTTATTCTGGCAAGATTTGTCTGGTTTGTACTTTTAGATTGTATTAATCTATTTTCTAACTGTTATTGAGCAAAGCAAACAACTAAGAAGTATAATGTCTGAGAATAAAAATGGAAATGCACTCTCCAAGCTGCTTAAAGCTTACAAAGACCAAATCATTCTTGCAATTATCAAACACACTCCACTGACTAAAACATTTCCCCTGTAGCGGGGGAGGGGAGGGGGCGGACGGACGGACGAAACGCGTAATAATTGTCACTTTCATTTTCCGTATTTCACTGTTTTGACACTCCGGAGGGGTTTCAATCATTCTAGAATATCGAAAAACTATGACCGAACTCACTTCTAAGCCCTTCTGCTCTCTATTTTGTTTTACTTGCCAATGTTTTGCCAGCCCGTATTTCAGAGCCGCGGCCGCAAGTATGAAAAATGCTGCCAACCTAACCACGCTAAGAACCTAATTCAAAAAGATGTTTTGAATATTTCAAACGGTAGTAATCGTGCATTTAAGATAAACTCCCCCTGTGGGAGCTTTAGGAGATGTTCGGTGCAAAATTTGGGAACTATTAGTGTTGTAGTTGCTGAGAAACGTGAGCGTGTACGCTACAGACTCACAGAGGGACAGACGCACGACCAGTCACTTTTTGGAGCGCCCAAACACGGCAAGGGCTCGCTTTCGCTCGCCAATTATGACATTATATCTGAATATATTTTGAGGACACATGTTGAAGAAAAGATTTAAAAATATTGAAAAAATAGAACAATTTTTTCATTTGTCAACTCTTTACTGAATCAATAAAACAAAATTATACTTCTCAGCTCTGTCTTAGCTCTAGTTTTTGTTTGATGGTTCTTTTCATTCAGTTAGCACGATGACCACATCGCTCCACCTCGCGACTTTCAGTGCTCATGTTCCTCGAACAAGACTGACCTGCGATTCGAAACCATCCCTCCTGAGTTTATAAAGTTTGTCAAACCAACCGTCGTGGTGTTGTTACGTTGTGAATGAGAACTATTACACAGAATTGAAGAAAACATGACTAGAGAACCGCCTTTTGAAACAAGCCAAACAATTCAACGTCAGCAACAATGGCGGGGCAGTTTTAACGCGCGACTACTCGTGTTTTCGGCTTCGCTATTTTCGCAAGGGCGCAGTTGCCGAGAAGATTGTTGCCAACCCGCGAAAATTAATTTACTGCCTCCTTTCCCCCACGAACATTTTAATAATGATTGACTTCAAAGATGTTCCACTGTGGAATACGTTAGCATTGGAATTTTTCGAATTTTACGGCATTTTGATTTCTTTTTGTTGCCAAGTTTAAATTTTGACGGGTGGCACATCGACCACACTGGTACCACTGCCATTCGTAAGGGAGAGTGGGGTAATTCCGGACACGGGGTAATTCCGAACACTTCGATTTTCACTGGGTTTGAGTGAAGATAACCCAAAAGCCCGCCTAACAGACGAAGATAATAAGTTTAAAAGGAGAATTCCAAATCCAAAGTAAGTAGGAGGTCAAACCGTTTGCCTGTGGTCGCTTCACGAAATTTGAGTACCATCAAAAATAGGCAAAAGCTGCATCTTTCCCTCGTATTTCCATGTACTTATCGTACCTTACCGCCGTTTTCTTACAGTTGAACATCAAAGGTTTTCACTACCTGTGGGGTAAATCCGGACAATAAGGGTTATTTTCTTCAATTTCCCGCATAATGTTAAGGTAGTGGGTTCAAAATTGTGGACATGCATCCCCACCGTTAAGAAGGATAAAGAAAGAACGAAAAATAGCATTGCAGCTATGTTTAAGAGCTTTACTCAAGACAGTGTTGTCAATTTAGGGGTTTTGATAGAAATTATTCCTTCTAATATGCTTTGAGTAATAATCAAACACTTCAGTTCGCAGCAAATGTCCTTGAACGCCTTCTAAAAGCATGCCTCACATCAAAACAAGCGATAGTAAGCTCGAGTAGTGTCAAATTTTAAGGTCGTCCGGCATTGCCCCATAGGTCGTCCGGAATTACCCCAGGCTGGGGCAATTCCGGACACGTGCAGGGCTTTTGTTAGGCGCCTATATCTCCCTAACCGTTGCTGAGATTTGGCTTTCATGTATACCATTTTGAAGGTAAAGGTCCATAGTTTACTCTCCTGTCATAACATTTAACCCAAGAAGCATATTCAAGCTCAAAGACCAAAAAGAAAAAAAGCGTCCGGAATTACCCCACTCTCCCTTACCCAAACCACCCTCTATCCCTTTTACACAACTTTTTGGCCCGTCCCGTTTATTTTTTGTAAAAAAATGACGGAGGGACGGGCATATAGTATGACTCGCTTCGCTCGCTGGGGGGCTTCGCCCCCCAGACCCCCCGTGCGTGCCTTCGGCCCGCTGAGTGCGGTCTGGTTAGCGATAGTAGGACCTAGCCGCCTGTTAATCGGGCGGTGTACGCCGCGGTCAACAATTCCAGAAGCTGTCTGGTACACAATGTTTCGTGACGAGTGAGTCAAAAGGGGGTGGCATTGAGTCAAAGCGTCGAAAGTCGGGCTCCCCTGGAGTCGTTGTCCTGGCCGCAGTCAGCAGCTGATGTGAAATGACTTTGCCGTCTTCAAACCAGCAGCGCCTGTCATCTAGCCTGAATCGCACTGCTCACCAATTACAGCGAGGAGCTGTGATGGCTAGTGGGGTGACGAACGCAGCAGCCCTTCATTCATCAGCAGTGACAAAGTACAAATGGCCATCGTTCCTGAAGAGAAGATTTCTATTGAAGAATTTTTTATCTTGACAAACGAATTAATGCGTACCTGTCAAGCCGTATAGCTATGTATACAAACTATAAATGGACCCTGACTGTCATAAGCAGTGCCCTACAATCTAAAATTCTACCCAAAAAGTTTTCTGTTAAAAATGGGCTAGAAAGCAATAAAAGCGGGAATTCACCTTTGCCACCATGAAGACGGACCTTGTGTTTTAATTACGCTGTACTTAACCATTCCAAGATAGTTTGTTTTATTAAAAGTTGGAGCCCCTGGAAAGTAGGCAACCTCAAGGGGATTAAGTTATCAGGGCCGGTTCTCTAACACAAAAGTTGTAAAATCGGAGATGTTTGCTGTCCTTGATGGGGCCGTAAAAAGCGAAAAACCGACGACCTTGTGAAAAGGGGATCATAGTGTATTTGTCTCGAACATCAAGTGAGCGCCCCTGCAAAGAAGGCATCTTGAGGAAGCAAAATCTTGACAACCGTTGCGCCTAGAGACAGAAATAATCGCCCATTCCTTATTAAAAAGTAGAGTCATATAGAATTTTTCTGACCGCTCTGGAAAGCAGTCTTGTGAGAAATTAAATGCCCCTGCCAAGTAGGCAACCAGTGACAGCGGAAGGGAAGGAAAGTGGGTAAATTTAGAGAACTGATGGTTCTTGAGATGACGGTCGAAGAACCGAAACTATGTTTTAATAAAAGTTAAGTTATCATACCCAGCCGATAGAAGTCTCGCATGAGAAGGAAGAGCCCCCGCGAGGTAGGCAACCAGGGGGAGTCGCAATATCAAGAACCGTTCGTCCTACAGAAAAAGTAACAAAAGCAAAAATGTTCCTCGTAAAAAATAAGGGGTAGCGTACGCTTTGATGAGGTATCTCGGAAGTCGTCTTGTACTCCAAACCAGCCACGGAAAGAAAAAGTAGCGAAAATTCTGCCGCTTTTTAGGGAGGAAAAGGTCAAAGCTGGAGAACGGTGGGTCGCATCGAGACGGGACCAAGTTCAGCAGATAGAAAATTAAATTTGAGGGGTAGCGTACGCTTTGATGACCCATCTGAGACGCATCCTTCTAGGTGAAAGTGCGATCGGCGAGTCGCGGGTGCCGGCCGGGGGGCGCGGTATTTTCCCCCACCCCCTCACTGCAGGCCTTATGGGAAATGAGTTTTCCGCGTTTAGCAGGCAAAAGGTTGAGAAAAAGTAAATTATAATATTTTTTCGCTTCCCAATTATTGAAATAACGAATCGTTTGACTCTTAAACGAAGAAAATCGATCGGCCACTTTTCGCTGTGGTTAAAAGTTGTATGTCACTCAATCAGTCAGTCGTGGGGAGGGGGAGTATCTTTTTTGGATCCCTGCTGTGCGTCCGTTCGTTCGTTCGTCCGAGGACTTCCCGTGGTCCGATCTTGACCAAATTTGGTATGCAGCCTCCTTGGGTGACCCTAAGAACCGCCCGGTGGCAGCAAATCCGATCCGAGCCCCGGGGGCGCTGCTGCAGGTGCATCATGGTCTACAGGGGGTCGAGGAGGATTTCAGCAACGGATACAGCTAGGAGGGCATGTAGGTGTATTTTTGGAATCGGGGCCACGAAACAAAACCAACGGTGCCAGTTTCAAGCGAATCGGAGAAGTTTCGACCCGGGTTCAAATCCCAGTGGGGTATATTTTAGACATTCTTTTTATTCAAATTTTTGCATTGTTTCTGATGTTTTTGAGGGCGCTGATGACGAAAATACCATTTATTTTGACCCCAGACTCAGGTTCAAATCCCGTCAGGGTTAAACATAGGCGAAATTCGCACATTCCCTGATGAACGGGACGGGCCAAAGTTGCCGATGTATATCGCTACTTTTCCTGTTATTTCCTTTCTCCACACTCCTACACAATAACCATGTTGACTTCGGGACTCCTAGGATTTCTTGAAATCGTATTTTTTTTTTAAATTAATTTTGGGTCAGTTTTATTTTTAAATCTATATTTATAGAGCCCAGATTTTTAACTGGTGGTTTTAACTGGCGGTCAAAGTAGCTTCAAGGCGTTTTGATATGACCCCTTAACTACGTAACGAACCGCAGTGACCCCTTCCATCATCGTCTTATCGGCGTGAGTGGTATCTAATTCTGCTTCCCCAATTCAATTTTGGCCAAAACAGCATTTCTTTATAGCCGTAGCTCAGTAAATTAGGACAAAGAACACTCCGCTTCAAAACACAGTGAAGGGATCATATTTAAACGTCTCAACGTTATTTGGCCAGCACTTTAAAATTTAGAGTCGGCACAAATTAAAAATAAGTAAAACATTTTTTTTCTTTTCACATATTTTAACGTACTTCGAGCCACTTGAAGAAGGCAATGAAAAATAAACAACAAACACAAAGTTGTAAGTTTTAAAAAAACGTAGACAAACGACTTCTAAGAGAAGTATCGTAATTATTTGTGACGCGCGAGGAAGGTCCTAATTGTTTTCTCCACCTCGCGACTTCAGACACCTGTAGCTTTTGAACCAGTTGAGCGTTATATTTTGTCACGCACGCTTCAACGTACGATGTCACGCTCCTGGAATAAAAGTGCAACGTTCAAATTCAAGAGCGTCGTACACTTTTCAACTCGACAGATTCAACACAACAAACCCCTCTGCGATCCAGAGCGCCTGCGAACTTAGGGTAGGCCACCCGTCGAGATCGGCTGTGTTGCGGGCGGGCCTACCCTTCGTTTGCAGGCGCTTCGCTCGAAGTGGCAGGCCCGCAGTTCCTCACTTGCGTACAGTACCTTAAGATAGACAAGATACAGAGGCAACACTGTAAATCCAAAGGCAATACTTAAGTACCTTTTGTGGCGATACAATTGAGTATCGCCAATAAACGGCCGTACGGAAAAGTATTGCCTTCAAAACGGCGATACTCGAAAGTATCGCCAAAATTTGGCGATACTTTGGAGTATCGCCCTGATTTGGCAATAAACGTCGAACAAATCAAGGGGAGAAGACCTTGGTTTAATGCCGTGGTTTTCGCAATACCCAAAAGTATCGCCAAATTTTGGCGATACTTCTGTGTATCGCCGTTCTGAAGGCAATACTTTTCCGTAAGGCCGTTTATTGGCGATACTCAATTGCATCGCCAAAAAATGTACTTTTGTATTGCCTTTGCATTTGCAGTGAAAACAAGTCCCCGTCCCCTAATACACTATGAAGACCCTTGAAACGTACACACCATGTATGATCCAGGAAGCGGAAGAGGGTAATAACTTGACTCATCTCCAAATCGGGGTTTTATTTTATTGGTGAGCCTCAGGATGGTTTGCATCATTGCACAAAATTATTTGACTCAATTCTCAACTTGACCCCTTTTACTGTCTTTATTTCATCGGAAAATAGAGATAACTCAATCGAAGTCCACATGAATTCGTGAAGTAAATGGCAAGGAAGCCTCTATGAAGTGTCAATTCAACTTCACTCCCCTTTTATTATAGAAAACAAACATTGGGAGAAACAGGTAGCTCGTAAAATGTACCACAGCATACGCGGACCTCAGCTCCAATTCAATTATCTCCGAATTCCACCTCGTTTGGGGGAACCAATTGAACATTATTCCATTGATCCATTCGAACGCAAAATTTTCAGTTATTACTTACGCTTTTGACAAACATCAATTTGCATCATTTATTTTTTAAGTTTTAGTTTTCCTTTAAAAAAGTTCTTTTTGTTGATATGACGATAATGGTGATACTTGAGTAGTCCCCGTCTTCTGATTCATGGATCAAATTCCTACATAGTACAATTTGACTAGCTTACACAGAAAAGTGGACAATGAAGGTTCCGGGCGCTGTCAAGGGAGTCTTTCTTGAAGCTCCTCGCGGTGAGTAGTGGGTTCTTGTGCCGAGTAAGCGAAGGACAGAATTCGCACGCGTCGTCGGCCGTCCTCGAGGCACTTCCCCGCGACCAGTAACACGCTCGATGTTCCAGACAAGTCGATTGACCACTGAAGTTCCTCCGTTGACAGTTGCCTGTCAAATCAGGGCGCCAGTGCGGTGGTGATTGGAGCGTCTGAGGCTGTCCAATTCGAATGAGTCGTGAACTACTCAGTTGTCAATCCAACTCTTTTCAAACTTCTTTTTTCGGGACACTAACCGTTTTGCCAGTGATCTTATTTTCGGCTCTTCGCTCTCATCTTAGGAAGAAACCAAGGACATCGCACAAGCATGATACAAACTACAATTACTTCGTATTGCGAAGGTATATCTTTATATCTTGCAATGAGGATACAAAAAAATCGTTTTATATCAATAGAGATATTGCTTCCTATTAGACAGATGAAAATTCTGTCGTAACTTAGCGACACATTTATTGCTAATTTCTTTAGTCACGAGATTTGTTGTGGAACGAATAGCCTGCTAAACCCCTTCATTTATCTTCGAGCCATTGGGTAGTCAATGCGAGTCCATGATTGTGAAAAAATGGAGTTCTCTGGTCACAATATATGGTTGGGAATGCCTGAACCTTTAAAAGAAGAAATCAAATCACATGGAACGGCAGAAATCCAAGTAACACAACTTAGATCGATAATGACAATATTTCCTCGCATTGTCACCTCAACGAGTCACGTTTAAGTGGTCGCCAAAAGACGGCTTCTTGGACGCATCGTGCATCGACCTGGGTGAGGCTCCTTCCTGGCTGGAAGGGGGAGAGAGGGGGGAGCCGCGTTCCGGCAGCAAGGACACCAGTTAAGCACGTACAGTCCCGTCGCCGCCATCTCTCTGGTCGGACCCAGGTGCGCCCGGCGGTGTTGCAGTCGACTGTTTGTTTTTGTTGTTTGCCATTCGAGGTGGAACCGGGAGGTTACTGCCAGCGGTAAGTTTACTTGCTACATTTGAGTGGTCATCTGACATAAAAACTTAATGTTCACAGGGGATCCCATAGTAGATGCGCAGTTATGTCCGACAGCTACAGATTTGGCAAAGCCATTTTAAATGCCCAACATTGACGAGCTTGGCCCAGAATTACTCCCAAGCTTGCCACAATTTGGCAAGCTTATGAAGGTTTCGGGTCGAAGCTTGACTACTAATTTTGGCATTCAACATGGCTCGCCAAATTTGTGGCAAGCAAACTGACCTCTGGCTTTACAGTGATATCCGACATTGTTCAAACAAACGTGCACTCTACATGTTATGTACAATGTTGTACGAGACATCACTGTTTTTTGTGCACACGAACTTTTCGTACAAATTTTGTACGAAAAAATGCACATATTTGCACATTTATGTGCAAATTTGCGTACAAATTTGCACAAAAAGTTCGTGTGCACAAATGTCTGCCGGTGCACACACTGCAAAACTGTCCGCAGAAGTATAGGAACGTAAAAGGATTTCGTCAAAGACATGACCGTTTGTTCTTGTTTGTTGTTAATTCAAATTGAACTTAAGTTTACAGACGAGAGAACGGTTCTTATCGGCGGGTACTCCCTTTGCTTGGAACCCCATTCGTCCTGCAGCTCCGAGTCCAAGATGCGCTTCGGCGTCGTGCTGTGCTGCCTGCTGGTCGTTCCCGTCCGAGCGGCCTACATGTCCGGCTCCTGCCCGCCGGCAGTCGCCTTGCGGCAATGCGCGCCCACGTGTCAGGTAGGAAAAGGGGCAAAAGCAACCATGGAGTCGGGGCATTTTTTCAGAAACGCACTTCTTGGGTCGATTCGCTGCTTGCGTATTCGGAATGCCCTCTCAATTTTGCACTCAGTGATCAGGCACCGCTCCAGGGGGAGGGTATTGGAGATAATTACTCCAGTTGGGTACTAGCCAGGGCGCATGCTCTCAAAAAGTTGTGTTGTCAAGATTGTCTGTATATGGTGAAATTGTCTGGTGGTGCAGCTGAGATGATAACATAACATTGAGAACTCACTGTACCTCATAGATGGTTTCACGAATTTCGTTTGTATTATGGACAAAATCTTCACCATTATATGTTGGTCCAGCCTTCCACCATAATACATTTAGAGTGTGGAAGGAAGGCAAAATGTTCTTTGTCACTGCAAATGCACCAAATACACTATTTCACCCTCCCCTTATCCAAATTCTGGAGCCGCGCCTGTAAGGGGCATTATTTTAATATTATAATTCAATAGAAAAAATTCCTGAGCACCACAGTTACAAACAAAACAATCGGGCAAAACGACTTACGGAAAGCCGAATACTTTGATTGCTCAAAGTTTTCGTTACAATTGGCCTAGGGAGCTGAAATTTTGTCGCAGTACTAATGATAGATGGGTAATTCGGGCAAAAATTAAAGTAAAATAGTCAATGGCCAACTTCGACCTGCTAATCGGCGCGATGCCACCGTTAAGATTTATCTGATCCCTGTCCCTTGCACAGAATTGTCTAATACTCCTCTGGCCTCGTATTCGGGTATATCTGTAGCTTTTTTCATTCCTGCGAAAATATTTGAGAGTGGAGCTCCTGGAAGGTGCGGCTATGGGCGCGTGGATCGTCAGAACCGACTTTGCGAGTCATCGTGAAGCCTGACGTAGACTAGTCCACCTACACTGTAAATGTCTTACGGTGAAGGGCTGCACCAACATAATATGGTGGAGATTTTCTCCATAATACCAACGAAATTCGTCAAAATCTCTATAAGGTATAGTGAATTCTCAATGGTATGTTACGAAGTCAGCTGCACCACCATAATATGGAACATTTTCACCATAATATGGAGAATCTTCACTGTAGAACATTTAGAGTGTACACGGCCAATCCCAAGAGAACGCTTGTCTCATATAAAAGCATTAGCCCACCTCGCCTCACACGCCAAGTACGCCCCCTGTGAATAAATAGGCCTTCGCTTAAGGGGAGGTTCTGGTGAAAATGCTTTTTTCTCCTAAATAGGTCTCACTGTGAAAATTTGTTAAAAATTTGATGTCTTACCAAGTAATTATTAAAATTTTTCAATGGGGAGGCACATTATTTGCGCTGAACCCAGTCGCAGAGCCTTTTTCTCCTATTTAGGCTAGGCTGTAACTTTAAAAATCTTCTTGCGCATACTATTTTGTCGTAAAAGGTTGGCCTTGACATTTTTCACTTCTTCGATTTATTTTGAAAAGATGCCGGCATGCAGAACTCAAAGCGTTAATCACATTTTTATTCGCAAGCTTTCTAACCAAGCATTTCACTATAATTGACCAAAAATGTACAAAATAGACAAATTTTAGGGACTTTTCAGCTTAAAAAGCTCATAATTAATAATGTAATGGACATTTTGAGCTATGCATGCCGGCATCTTTTCAAAATGAATTGAAGAAGTGAAAAATGTCAAGGTCAACCTTTTACGACAAAATAGTATGCGCAAGAAGATTTTTTAAGATACAGCCAAAACAGGCTCAAAAAGACTCTTCGGCTGTGTTCAGAGCCTGGCATGTGCCTTCAAAAGTCTAATTTTAGTCTCCTCGAAGAAGGATTTTATATTCCGAACAAACTGAGACTGTGGGATCCATTTGGAAAATAGCAAGATTTTCACCAGAACCTCCCCGTAATTCGCAGAGGTGGAACAGCACAGTTTAAAACTAATAGCCGCGGTATATACGGTAAAAACGGAGCCTGGTTTTCCCAGGAAGCCCACACTGTAAAAAATTCCGTACTTTTGCACGGAAATGGTACAGGAAAATATAGTACGGAGGTACGGAGAAAAGTACGGAACGTTCCGTACTTGCTCCAAATGAACCCATGTAAATGGGTACGGAAAAAAGTACGGAACGTTTCGTAGTTGACAAGCACGGACGGTCTAGGCAAATTATTGACCAGACATGTTCCGTACTTTTTTCTCACAGTGCATAGGCGATTTCCAGGGGGTTCCTGAAAAACCAGGTTCCGTTTTTACCGTGTACAACACACAATGCATTGTAATGATTGTTGCAGGACCACGTGGAGTGCCCCGGCGCTCTCCTGTGCTGCGACACTGTTTGCGGGGGCACCGCGTGCGTGCGGCCAGTCACGAGTGTGCGAAAAGGGCAACGAGACCAGGGCAATGGACCAGGTGGGGCACAAACACGCTCCATTGGCGTTTATGTATAAGGTGTCCACACCCTTAAAACCTTACGAAGTATTTTGAGCATACATACGTACAAACTAATTTACCTTGTTATGCGACGAAATACAGTAGTTCGTAAATTACGAAGCATTTTCTTTGAAAGCTTATGTACGCTCAAAATAGTTGGGTCTAACAAACTGCTTTGCTTTGTAAGGCCTGAAATAGTTTGTAAGGTTTTCTCAGTGCAGGTCTGCAAACTGCACATTTCGAATCATAAAGCTTCATCTTCGTAGCTCATAACAAAGGCAGTCGAAAATAGATTCATAATTATTCATTTATTTAGTATTATGTTTGCACAATTATCGCAAGGTAGAGTAAGCTTTTGTTTGAAGCGCCGAAAAAAGTGTGTAAGCTTTTGAGTTTGTTTTTTGGGGTGCACAGTAAAAACTCTACGAAGAATCGCTTCGTAGTACGAAGGAAATGAAGGCATTGTTTGAAATGCTTCGTATTATGAAGCAAAATCCTTCGTAATACGAAGCATTTCTTCACAATATGGAGCAATTCTACAACGCCTTCATTTTCTTCGTAGTTATGAAGCAAATGCTTCGTAGGCCTTTAGGAGTGTGTGTGATGGCAGGGAGTGCTGTGTTTCAGAGTGCTGCCCGAAGCCCGGCCGCTGCCCCGACGTCGTGGAAGGCAGCTGGATGTGCAGCACGCGCTGCAGGGGCGACTTCGACTGCGACGGCCCGACCAAGTGCTGCCTCAGTCGCTGCGGTGCCATGGAGTGCGCCGCGCCTGTCCTCTGAGCCGAGTGTCGGGTATACTACACTCTAAATACGGAGGTGGTACACTCTCAGGGACTGAGGGATAATTTCACAACGACAAACTTGCAATAATGCACCAACAATTACACATCCGACAAGTATTGAAAGTCCAAAAGAAATTTTGTAATGTCAGCGACAATATTCATAGAGTACTTTTGTCGCTAAATTTAATTTGCATGTTTTTTTAAACAATAGTAATTTTCCTATGACTTAGAAGAACAAAATAGTAGATGCTTATTCATAATATGCTTTAATTGAGCAGATAATTGCAAAAGATGTTGCTTCCACACAAATTGTATCGTAAAGAGTGATAACAAGAATTTTGTTCTTCAACGACAAAATGTCGCTTACTAGACTCAACGACATTTGTTTCGCTTTGGTTCAAGATGAAATTCTATGTTTTGGAACGACTAAATTTTCACTCATCTGATTGTTTCCGTACAACCATTCGTCATGTGAAGTAAACCTCATTGAGAGTGAGCTGAGAGCAAGCGGCGCGGCGGTGGCTAAGGGCCTGTAAAGTTAGCGCCGCGCGTGAGAGCGGGCGTGCGGACGCGCGTGGACGAGAGCGTCGATCAGCGCTCACGGACAACGCCGGCTGCCCGGAGGGTCCCCGGGACTATTCGGGACCTGTTCGGGACCACCCGAATGGTCCCGAACGGACTCCGGGCAGCCGGCGTTGTCCGTGAGCGCTACGATCGACGCTCTCGTTCACGCGCGTCCGCGCGTCCACACGCCCGCTCTCACGCGCGGCGCTAACTTTACAGGCCCTAAGTCCGCCAGCGCAGGTCCACAAAGACACCACTGACCAAGTATAGATCCAACGTGATGTTTCTCTGGCCAAGTGGTATCGCTCCCGACTCCTGACTTGCAGGTCGGTGGGTCGAATGCCGCCTCCGGCGCGCGGCTTCGTTTTGCCGCGGCCCGACCGTCCCTTTAACCTGTCTTTTGGGTATCTTTTTTTTCGGCCAAAAAATGATAGATAAAAGGCCATTCAAAGACTCCTGGAAGACACCCACAAGATACATTAAGGTGACTTTTCTCTGTCTTCTGTGTATCTTTCAGCAGTCTTTTTGCCAACTTTTTCGAAAAGATAAAATAAAGATGAATTTAAGTGCTGCAGTTCTACGCGGGCAGCACCGTCGACCTGCAGTGCGGATTCCCCGACCGCCTCGTCCTGCCCATGGGCCACAAGGCCGGCATCCCCTACTCCCTCTTCGTCATGGTCAACCCCCACGGCGGCGCCGACGAGCACGACCACGCCGACTACTACCACTCTGAGAAGGTCAACTACCAGGCCGCCGTCAAGGACATCTACTCCTGCAACGGACTCATGACCGTCGTCGACAACCGCCCCCTCGGCTTCCCCTTCGACCGCCAGATCGACAACTTCGGCCGCTTCTACATGCCCAACATGTACTTCAAGGACGTCGTCATCTTCCACAAGGACTCCAGCGCCGACTCCGTCGTCTTCAAGAAGAACGTCAACGACTTCGACGCCGTCAACGCCCAGGCCGGCCGCAAGCACATCCCCAGCCACAGGCTGATGGACGAGATCCTCCGCGAGGACGACGACGTGCGTGCCTTCCTGTAAGCCGCGTCAAGCTGAAGCCGTGCCTGTGTCATCAGTCAATAAAAACACCTTGTCGCACACAATTTGCATTGTCTAGTGTTGGTTTCCTTCCCTGTCGCCTCCAATGACCACTCGTGCACTCGTGAAAGACATGCATGAGCTGCCAAGAAAGTACACCGACAACTAGGCGGTTATCTAGATTCCAAGAACTGTGGGTTGGGTTGGTGGGGTCGTAAGAAGACAATTGAACAATCGACCATTTCTTGTTTATGTTCAAAAAACCTAGATTTTATTTGGTCTTTTGTTTTTAATCAAGTTGCACTTGCAGAACAGTGAGCCTGGAACTTTAGGCCTTGGGGTAGCTAGCCTCGGAGGCGATACCGCAGTGGTTCTTCTTGTTGCGGGCCATCCTGATGTAACCCTTCTCACCCCAGGAGGTGCCCCAGGAGTTCTTGACGATCCAGTAGTCCTTGTTGCGGCCGTCGCTGCCGTAACCGACGGCGAGGACACCGTGGTCGAGGGAGGTGCTGGAGCAGGAGGGCTCGTAGTAGAGGCCGCTGCTGTAGAACTGGAAGGACCAGTTGCTGGCGTCGATGGCGACGGACACGGGGCCGACCTTCTTGACGGCGTCCTGGAGGTCGCTCTCAGAGAACTGCTTGATGTCGACGAAGCTGGATAGAGTGCCGGCGTTGTTGTCCTTGGAGAACTTGCAGGAACCGTCCACACCAGTGTAGGGGTAGGAGTCCTCGGTGTCGATACCGCCGTTGCTCTTGATGTAAGCGAAGGCGTAGTCCATCAGGCCACTGACGCAACCGTTATTCTCGGTGGAGCAGTCGACCAGGTTCTGCTCGGAGAGGGAGACGAGCTTCTTGTTCTTCTTGAAGAGAGCACCCTCGAGGGAGCCGGTCTGGAGAGCAAAGGAGGGATGGCGTTAGTGAGACTTGTTGGCCCGGGGCGAACCGCCGTTCAAATTGTGATACTTACGGTGGAGAAAGCCCAGCAGGAGCCGCACTGGCCCTGGTCCTTGACGTCGGTGACGTATCCCTTCTTCCTCCAGTCGACGCTCTTCTTCCAGGGCCAGGTGAAGGCCACGGGCTCGGACACGTTGTGCACGGCGCGGACGGGCTTGTTCACGGGGGAACGGTAGCCGTTGAGCCTCTCAGCAACCTCGTGGGTGTGCAGGTCAGCGTACTTGTTGATGGCGACGGTGAAGGTGACCTCACCGGCGTCGTAGCGAGCGTTGTGCTTGGCGACCTTGATGGCGTTCTCCTTGAAGATCTTCATGCGGTGAGTCTCCTCAAGCTCGTTGACGTAGTTCTTGCCGTGCTCGGCCTTGAACTTCTGCCAGTGGTTGGCGAGCTCATCTTCGGAGGGGATGGACCAGCAAGTGGCCACCGCCACGAAGGCAGCGAGGAAGATGAGGAACTTCATGGTGCTGAAACGGAGAGGGCAACACTGCGTTAGGCCGCCTAGGACGCGTCCGGCAACCGGGCTGGCTCAGCACCGCTCAGCACGTGCCCCAGATCCGTCGGTGGTCGTCCCTCTACAGGGGGTCGCTACTCACCAATCAAAAGCTGATGAGCTGAATGCTGCCCAGTTTGAGCGTCCTTTCCGCGGTCCTTTCCCTTTTATACTCGGCCTTCTCGCCTCGCCACCGTGCACGGGTCAAGTACACTTCACATGCTTGCAAAATGCCCTAATCTCATGTGCTTGCTGTAATTCATACTCAATCGTTTATCTTGTAGATTGGTGCTAGAAACACATGATAACGGGGCATCCCACGTCAAACCATCATGGTCCAGACAGGCCTCTTCAAAAAGGGCAAAGTAGGCCGGCCGCACTGGCCGAGCTCGGCCAGCGAAACATGACCAAAATAAGGCAAAATGTTTCAAATTTGAAGAAAAATAAAAATGGGCCTGGTGAAATAGCTTTTACAGCCTCTTCTAGACTGATATTTTCAAATTTGCCCACCCTATCTTTTCCCCATGCAATAATAGATATACTTGTCCGAATCTGAAGACTGGGTAGCAAATCATTTGTCATGAGGAGAATTTGGGAGAAACGACTAAGTTAACGTAAATATCCATAACTCAGAAACTAATAGGAGTTGGGGCTCCCAACTTTGGAAATAAATTCACCTGGTAGTGGTTGAATTTTGACCACAAAATGAACTTCCTGTGACAAATACTTTTAGGACATTCTAGTTTCACTTGACAGTATCCTAAATCTAGAGATGTTAGGTGGCCTTTGCAGTACCCTACTAAGTCATAAAATAAATAAATGTACAGAGCTAAAATCCTAGCGGCACGGGGTATCGCCGCACGCTTCACGGGGCATGATGGGTTGCCTACCCACTGGGCAGATTCCTGTTCCAGCGGAGCCCACCTAGCGTCAAAGACATCATCAATGATCGTCACAGACCCACTTTTCGGAAGACAATAGATTTTTTTCAACCTGGATACGGTGCGACGTCATAGTAAAAACGACAGCACTGTTAAATTAATCCAGAAACATCCTTAATAAATTAAACAAATGCTTCAAAATTGTAGCTTATTAAGCGACATAGAGGAAAATTTGAAACATAAATTACAAATATGTGAACGTAGGAGCCCTTTGCCTCAGCCTGAAGCGGTAGCTTTTCCTAGTATCGTTAATTTATTTGGTATTGTTTGCACATTTATTGCAAGACATGTTGAGTGTGCTTTTTGTTTGAAGCGCCAAAGTATGTAAGCTTTAGAGTTTGTGTTGTGTGTGAGTGTGAGTGTGTGATGGCAGAAAGTGCTGTGTTTCAGAGTGCTGCCCGAAGCCCGGCCGCTGCCCCGACGTCGTGGAGGGCAGCTGGATGTGCAGCACGCGCTGCAGGGGCGACTGCGACGGCCCGACCAAGTGCTGCCTCAGTCGCTGCGGCGCCATGGAGTGCGCCGCGCCTGTCCTCTGAGCCGAGTGTCGGGTATACTACACTCTAAATACGGAGGTGGTACACTCTCATTCCAGGAACGTGACATCGCGTTAAAACGAACGTGACAAAATGTCAGGTTCGTTTCAACGTGATGTCACGTTCCCGGAATGAGAGTGATACCGCAGTATTTATTGGCGATGTGCACATTGGCTATCGCCAGCAAACAGTCGTACTGAAACGTCTCTCCTTTCATGAGTCGATTAGCAAAAGAATCGCCGAATCCTTGGCGTTTGGTTTCCAACAAATCCAACAATTTTTCATAGTCCATGGGAACGCATAACAATTTGCAATTGGTTTTTTCAATAGGGTACTTCGGAGAAACCCTGGACCGGAAGTCAGCGACAGAACGGGAGAAACAAAAGAGCGCCGTGCAGCCGTGCTGAACGGTGGTGGGGGTCGAAATCGACGGAGTGGGGGTGAAGGTGGCGCGCGCATGCTACCCCCACTCTGCCCATTCCGGCCCCCACCACCGCTCAGCACGGCCGCGCGACGCTCTATTGTTTCTCCCGTTCTGTCGCTGACTTCCGGTCTAGGTTTCCTCCGAAGTACCCTATTCCTCTGCACAGTTTTTGCAAGTGGTCTCACACAATTTAACACACTTGTGGACAAAATTTCAGTCAAACTTCTGCCGAGTTTGAGTAAAAGTCGCACAAATAAATTTCACGTGCACAAAAGTGTACGAATCTATTTATGGTGTGGAGTTGCAACTTATATTGGGAAAAAAAATAAAATGAATACAAGGCCAGAAACGGCGAATATTTTACTGATAAAAATTTTGTTGTAACTTAGCGACACATTTATCGCTAACCTTTTTAGCGACAAGATTTGTTGTGGAACGAATAGCTTGTTAAACTGTAGTCGTATTGGAACTAAGGGATAATTTCACATCGACAAACTTGTAATAATGCACCAACAATACGACAAGTATTGAAAGTCCAAAAGAATTTTTGTAATGTCAGCGACAATATTCATAGAGTACTTTTGACGCTAAATTTATTTTGCATGGTTTTATTTAAACAATAGTAATTTTCCTATGACTGAGAAGAACAAAATAGTAGATGATTATTCATAATATGCTTTAATTGAGCAGATAATTGCAAAAGATGTTGCTTCCACACAAATTGTATCGTAAAGAGTGATAACAAGAATTTTGTTCTTCAACGACAAAATGTCGCTTACTAGACTCAACGACATTTGTTTCGCTTTGGTTCAAGATGAAATTCTATGTTTTGGAACGACTAAATTTTCACTCATCTGATTGTTTCTGTACAACCATTTTTTAACAGTGAATTGTTAAAAACCTAAACCGTTTCAGGTGAATGTGTCGCATCTCATTGGCTTGCCAGCCGACCTGGCAAGAACATGCTCACCACGTGTGGCTTCCTCATGGATGTCAGTGATCAAAACATCAAAGACAACCGCTCACCGCCCTGAAAAACCAAACGTGGTCTAGACAGACCACACCAACTGATGTGGTCAAAATGGCACCCATCTGACCACTCCAATTGTTGCGGTCTGGACCACGTTTGGGTTTTCAGTGCGGCACTTTTGAGCCCGATGGCATTTGTCGTGCGGTAGTAAAGCCAACTATCTGTCTATCACATCAAATCAAGAAGAAAAACTACAGATCATCTTGGCACGCAGTGTACAACAAATAGTTTTCAGCGTTCTATTATTAATGGCTGACTTCCTGGAAAAAACTTTGGACTGTATTCCTTGTACAGCCGCTCAATGGCTGCCGCGTGCTTCGCATGGAGGTCTTCAATCTGTGCCTTGGTGGGACTCCGGACCTTTTCAACGTGCAGAGGTGCGCCAACTGAAACAAATCCATGTCAAGTACATGCACATGACTGGGAGAATGGGTGAGAAGAGGAAGATAAAATTTCAAGTTGCTAATGATGCAATCTGAGCACACGAGCCACCTAATGTAACAAGGGAAGACCATTCTTGTCGTCAGCGAGTGAAAAAAAAAGGCCCAAAACAGGAAACGGCAGTGGAACGATAATCTTGCACACCCGTTAAAGAGTCTTCCAGAGCGTCACTCTTTCAACAGCAATTAAGCCTTACTCAAATACTTTTCAAAGGAAATAAACGTAATTGCCGACATTTCTCCTTTGAACCGGGCTACTCATGATCTGGTTTCGTGCTCTTTCTGATACTGAGTGCGGCAATCTTTAACGACTCACCAACAAAGGTGTGAGGCACTCTGTGAGGCAGGTACCCAATAATGGTCTCGAAGAGGCCCCGCCCCACTGGGAACATGACCCACCGCCCCGTCACGCGGTGCACCCAGTCCTGGAGCCACGACAGCGGCTGGCTGTAGGCTCTGTTCTTTCCGAGGATCAGGATGGGGAGGAGTGACGCTCTGGAACGCGAGAGGCAAATACAAGCATTGGTAAAGTGGTGTATGGCTGCAAAGGTTAGCATGCCTGTTTCACTCTCCTAAAAGGGAGAGTGTTGTTCGTGACACGAGGACAGCTCAGCTACTGATGATTGAGTGAAACCATTATCATTATGGTCGATATTCATGTCTATTTCAGAGAACGCCAAGATTTCGAGTGAACTCCATAAGACGTTTCCACTAAATTCGACGCCTCCTGATAGAATAATCCTGTCAGTGCTGGTGCAAGACAATCGTAACTGTCAGCGCAGATTGTACGACGTAAAAAGCTATTTTTTTTAATAAAATTCTGTGACGCCAACATGTTGCTTCAAATTTCTTGGCAATGGACTTGTTAAAAAGTATAAACCTTGCATATAAACGTGGAAGCTGTATTTCAGTGATATCATGATTCGCTGCTTTGGACTGAAAAGAGCTAATGAGCAGTTTTAGCCTCCTCTGAAACCTCTGAGCAGTTAAGATTGTCTCGGATCAGCACTGACAGTTAGGATTAATCTGTTAGGAGGCGTCGAATTCTTAAGTTTCTACGTAATACTTTTCTTGCGTACCAGAACCACCTTTGATGCGTACCCTTCTTGCAGTGCGAGACGGCAGAAGCCTCTCCGCTTGAGGTACACGTGGAAAACGTCTGGGCGCATCCGCAGCGTTTCATCGGCACTGCCACTGAACAACAGCACTGCAGTGCCCTGCTCGCGGCAAAGTACGTGCCGAATACTGCGCTCGGACACGGAAATCAAACCTAGACAAAACCGCGAATGCAGTAAAGACACTGTCAGAAGAAAAAACTGCAGCGGAAATCATGACTTATTCACACCCTGTAATTCAGGAACAGGATTAACTTTTATCTTGGACAGTCTCTCCCGTTCGCTAAAATGGTTCATATAAAGCCGATAACAAAGAGAAATATTTTTTCCCAGTGCTGCAACATGTTTGACGTACCCCAGGCCAGCGCCAACTCACGCACAACAGGGATCACGAAGTACGCGCGAACCGCGGCTGTCTTGAACGAGATGCCGGGAAACGCTTCGCCCAACGCGTCGCCGAACAAGGTGGCTGCCATTGTTGCAGTCTGTTAAAGTCACCCTAAATGTTACTGTCAAATAGTAGCAGATTCCGTGGACAACACGGATAAAACGGTTCATGGTTTTCCCGGAAAATTCCTGGAAATCCCCAGTGTCTCTACACTGAGAAAACAAATGCGGAGGATTCCGCACAATCTGGTGCGGTGTAATTTTCTATCAATTTGACCGCACTAACTGATGCGGAGAAGATTGACTTCATTTACTCATGCGGAGTGTGCCAAATTGATGCGGTCTCAGTTTTGACCGCATTAGTTTAGGTGGATTTCAAGATCCCACGATATCTACAGCAGTGGCAACTTCCCTTCCCAGTAGCGGTTACATTTACTTGGCCATCTCATTTACTTCTTAAACAATATTATTTGGGAAACCAGTACATACCTGTCATTCTGTCATGTAGATGTTTGTAACGCTGAGATGAGCGTAAAGTTAACAGCGATCAGCCTCATTAAAAAGCAGTAGTTTTTTTATAAAAACCAATGATTGAAACTGCATATTGTTAGCGATGAATTGTCACACAATTTGAAAACACAATTCAAAATTATTTTTATCTTTCAAGTCCTCGGCAATCTTCGGTGAGAACAGCACTGAGGTATCCAATGCTGTCCAGCCCAGGGCTAGGTTGAGGTTAAGTGACCGGGTTGCTTTGGCAGAAATATTTTCAATACTGCAATATAGAAGCATGTCAACACATGCGAAGCACTACAGTACAACTGTATTTTAGTAATATTCATAATTTTATGCTTTGAAACATCCACAACTATTGAAAATTCGTTTTTTTCACACAAAGAAAGTTCAAGACACACACTTTCATAGTGAACAACAAAACAAACCTAACAACAAGAAGATGGTAGGGCCAACCTAAGATCTTGAGAACGTGCTAGCGTTAAAGTAAAGCCAACTTTGGATGTATATTAGGGATTTTTAAGGGAATGGTATGTTTATTAAAGCTTAAAATTTGATGAACGACTCACACAAAAGAACAACTTTATAGTTTACTTTCTGACTCATATGATGTTATTTTCTTATGTTGGCACTCCTTTGTTTTTGTTATCTTATTTATTTTGTTGTTGATTGTGTGTGACAGTGTCAGAGTATGATTTGAAAGATTATTCCTTTAAAAACGTTCTTACAATGGTTTGGAATGACTCAGACCCTGAAATTATGAAATAACCTCAATCAAAGAAATGCTGTAGTGCGTCTTGTGCGTTGACTTGTTCAAATACAGCAGCACAGACAATTCTTCAGTCAAGCAGCCGGTGGGTTTAACCTTACCAGCATACAGCATAGCCTGGCTCATGGAAACTAGTAATGCTATCACCAAGAAGTTTGAGGCTAAATATAATTTAAAGTGATGAATAACAATAGTTTGATACTGCATTTGGAACAATATCCAGTGTCAATAACATTTTGTACAGACAAAATTATTATTCCGTGGCTTGCTGTTTCAAACACAGGATATTTACTCATCGCAGCGTTACAAAAATTAACGTCAAAGGTATGTGTTGGTTAGTCAATGATAAGCATCAGAAGTAAATGAGAAGGCACAGTTCATGCCATCCTTTTCTGGTTGTCCAGTAAGAGACGGAAAGTTGGTAGCAGCCGCTAGCTGTTTAGCTGTCATGAAATGTAGGACTCCGCATCAGTTCATGCGGTCAAAATGGAAACCGCATCAGGAAATGCGGTTAAATTTTACACTGCATGACTCCTGCGGTGAAATTGCATCAAAATCCTGGCTATTCAGGTGACCGCATCACTTCATGCGGTCACTTACTTAAACCGCATTTCAAATGCGGAATTCTCCGCATTTGTTTTTTCAGTGTAACTATAGGGTATCTGGCAAAACCAGGAACCATTTTAGCCGTGAAATTCAAACAGAAATAAACTAACCACATACGTGCAAATGGTAAAAACCGGAGCCTTTTAAAAACAAAAACTTTCTCAAGTTTGCTTTAAAATTTTAACATACAGGGTGAGTTTTTACAATGTGTCAATAATTTGTAGGTAGCTTGCGCACCTCAAGAGGATCTCTTTTCACCAATGAACTAGTGGGCACAAACGTCTAGGTACGGAGATAAATGATATTTAGAAATGGGCATTCGCACCTGCCAGATACACACCTGCGGCCACTGAGGATCTCAAGACCTCACGAGAAGATGTCGTGGGTCTAGCGGGGATGCAACGAAGGTCGCAGGGGTGCGGCGGACCTTTCAATTGACTTTTCAGAGGGGTTGCCGAGGGTCTCAGGTGACTGTCGTGGTGGCCTGCGTAACAGTGGATCTCGCGGCTGTCTTCGCGAGGGTGGCAGGACTCCACGGTTTCTCCGTGAAGACAGTGGCACTCCCTCGAGTACTGCGAGTCCCATGACACCCACACTGTAAGTCGTGGAGGTGTAAAGTGTCATTTTGCCACCCATCGCACCCTCATAGTACACCTTCTGGGGGTTAGAATGAAGTTGGAGGGGTCAAAATACAGCACGGAAAAAAAAGATTTCGCTAATCTAGCGAATTTTTTGCTATTTCAGCGAATTTTTGTCACCTGCTAATGGCGCAAAGAATTTGTTTGCTATTACAGCGAAAATTTTTCACCTACATTTTGTTTGCTGGGATAGGTAACAATTTTCGCTGATATAATGACCATGATTTCGTAGTCTTGTCACAAAAAGATGGTGGGAAGACGATTTAGAGCGGTCTTCCACCCTCAACCAGGATACAATTATCTTCTCTCGCCCACTCCGAGCTGGAATCGAACCTTCAACTTACAGGTTCTGAGATTCGTGCTGTACCCCCAGACCACCAAGACATACTGTGGGAATAGGCTAGAGTCCTCCTCTTGGCTTAGAAAGCCCCACAAGGTACAAAACACGCATGAATCCAATGTTGGCGAACACTTTTAGCATATCTAGCAAACATGTTCGTTGCGTTAGTAAGGAAAAACTTATCGGTAGAACAGCGAACAAGAGTTCGCTACATCAGAGTCCTAAATGCCCTGAAATAGCGAATTTGCTCGTTATTCCAGCGAATTTTCCTTCAGCAAACAGATGTTCGCTAAAATAGCGAAATATTTTTTTTCCGTGAGAGTGCCTCCATAAAGGTGCTGTTCTACACCCAATAGGGGGAGATCGCACTGCCCGGAGAAGACTTCACACCCTTCCTGGTGCACTTACGCACCCCAAGTTTTGCCCTCCTACGGGTGCTGTTTCTTTTACTTTTTAGAGGTGCGATGGGGTGTAATATCCATCCGCGGAAAGGTGTGCAGGGGTGTAAAGGGACTGAATGGAGATTGCCACTTTCTTGGAGTGAATACGCACCCCATGAGGTGTAAGTTGTTGCCTGGAGTGGGTGTAAAATGTATCCCTGTAAGGGTGTGCCCTTGCCCCCACAGAGGGGCACCCTGGAGCTGCGGCGGCGCGCTAATGTGTGCGTTGCGGCACGGCCTGTCCCTCAGAAAGTCCTGTAGTCTCGGGGTAAGCGTCCGCGCTACGATTCCACAGGATCGTGGTTCGATTCCTCATGGCTGCCGGCGCTTCGGCGCTTTCGGTCATTGAGGCATGGAAGGTGAGGACGGAAGGCGGAGTCCCGGTGGGCGGAGACCTCCTTCCATCTCAAACAAATCTTTCTTTTTACACCCTTCGTGGTGGGAAAAGACACCCTCTTGGGTAGACAAATCACACCCCTAGAGGGAGAGTTCTTACACCTTATGGGGTGTGTATGCGCCCTTGAATGGGTGCGTAAGTGTGCACCCACATAATGCCAAACAGCTTCTTTTGCCACCTTTTTTTGCACCTTTTGAAGGTCAGAATGAGACTTCACACCCTCGATTATGGGTGTGAAACTCAGGTAGGGTGGCAAACGGTGGTACACCACGAAGGTGTCACAAAATGACCCCTCCCAGGTTACAGTGCACTCGTGAGGTCCCACCACCCTCAGTGGCGGCGAGAGCCTACCTCGTGGGCGCGGAGGTAAATTACAAAACACTTATTATCTCAGTAACTAGACGTTTGCGCCCACTAGTTCACTAGCGAAAAATGATCCGCTAGGGGTAAATAAACTTCCTACAAATTATTGACACATCGAAAAAACTCACCCTGTATTCATTTAGTTTCCACTACTGTTCTGTGGAAATTGAGAGGTATGCCTATAAATTTACGAGACAGTATGAAATAGGTAGACAGCGCAGCTACCCTTTCCCCGTGGAGCACGCCCCTTCCTACCAAATGAAACTGGACGAACATACGTGAAATTCCTTTTATCACCAAACAGTTCAACGCACCTGGAACGGGCCATGTGGATGGGTATCGGCGATGTAGTTTCTCCTTGGATCGAGGGAGGCGCCGTCCGCCTTGACCACTTTCAACGGGAAGTAGTTCGTCACACAACGGCCGACAACCGAACCGCCATACTGGTACCACCTGAATGTGCATGAAAAAAAATGTATCTTGAAACCTTTTGAACTATTACAGGGGAGAGAAAAGTGCCAATTTTCACGAGCTATTTTAAACAAATTTTCAATGAAACACTTTGCACAATCAACGACGTTTTCTTCTTATAACAAGGCAGATAATTACTATATGTTTGCTTCGAATACTTCTCAATGTTAGAGCAGAAGCCCCAGTCAACAAAACATAGTCCCGGTCCGGGACGGACCATCGGACTATCCCTATAGTGGTCCCTGCATAGTCCCCTGGGAATGTCCCTCATGTACCTCCCAGGGATGTCCGCTCGGACCACCCGGCCGGTGCAATCGGCGGGTCCAGCCGACAGTAGACGTCCGCCAGAGGTCCGGCGGATGTCCCAGCGGGACCCGTCAAAGGTCGCGAAGGGCTAGTTCCGGCTGACGTCCCTGGGTCGTCCCAAGGACCTCCTTTCGGGACATGGCCCCGCGGTGCTTGGGCAAAACGCCGATGAACCAGTGGTCCGAGGCCTGTCCCGCCGGGCTAATCCCGGCGGATATCCTTTGCGGACGTCCCAAGGACGTCCTATTGGGACATGGCCCCTGGCGAGGCAACACGCCCGACTGCCAGTGGGGTCATTCCATCCTACTTTTACATCCCGTTACATCGACCCCCTCCGATTTGCTCCAAATTTTGGTCACATGTTACCTACCTATAGATAAGTCGTCCACCAAAAAATTAGACCTCTACGATGCATGGTTTGGCTAAAATCGCATTTTTTCATTTTGACCATTTTTTCTTATATTAGTGTAGGTTTTTACGAAAACGGCTATAACTTCCTTTCTAATCGCAAGACTCCGTTCAAACTTGGTGCTCCCACTCAAAATTGAACAAGGAATCCAAATCTGCCGTCGGAATCGACCTAGGGTCACCCAAAGTTGGTCAAATGTCCAAAATGCGAAAAAAATTGACATTTTTGCCAATATTTAGCTGCAACACTTACAGGGCTCCTGGACAGCTCAAAATCTTCAGAAAATTGCCCTCTTTAAGAATCTGAATGCAGAAGTCCCAGTATATGCTTCCTAAGGGTCAGTTTTTGACCAAAACGCGAAATACCGCCCAAAACCGCTTGTTTCACCCTCCCACGGACGCCACCTGGGCGGCACGGGTCCTTCCGCGTGTTTGAAGGACTAGCTGGGTCATTTTGGGGTGCAGGTGGGCACCCCGCACTGTAAAGTACTCTAGAACGAAGGCCCACGCGCCTCCAAGGTCACACAATTAGGCGAACATCACGTATTTTACCTAGATTCGGAATGAGCAGCGGAGCGCCTGGAGGTAGGCCATCCCGTCGACCTCTGCAGTGTTGTTGGTGGCCTGCCCAGGAAGAGTGCTTCTGCACTCTAAATGTCTTACAATGAAATTTGACCTATGTTATTCGTATGTAACAGTGAATTCGGCGCAAGCATAATACGTAGCAATATTCCTTCGTGATACGAATCTTTTTAGCTTTTTCATTGTAAGGTACAAAGAAAAACCTTCGTAATACGAAGAAAAACCACCTTCGTATTATGCTTGCGCCATTTCCTTCGTGAAATGGGAAATTTCTTCGTAAGACATTAAGAGTGTGGTCGCCGGTGAGAAGGCTGAGAAAAATTTGATGGGAAGGGTAATATTGAAGAACAGAGAAGTGTCTCTTTTGTTTTTTATAAATATTCAGATTAATTTTGTACACCCTCTATTTTCTACGCAGCAATTGTTGGCGGCTCCTGGCACGCAAATTTAAACTATGAACTACGAATGTTGGCAGTTCAAATTGAACATCATTTAACTCAATCAAGTTCACTTTACACAAAACTTCAGTGAAAGGTGCAACGTACTCCATATAATCAGAGGGCCAGCTAAATTTTGTCGATGGAAGGGATGGCAGTAAGAGAGCTAGATCCGAATTCCGAATCTAGGCAAAATACGTGATGTGCGCCTAATTGTGTGAGGAGGCGCGTGGGCCTTCGTTCTAGAGTACTTTACAGTGCGGGTTGCCCACCTGCACCCCAAAATGACCCAGCTAGTCCTTCAAACACGCGGAGGGTCCCGTGCCGCCCAGGTGGCGTCCGTGGGAGGGTGAAACAAGCGGTTTTGGGCGGTATTTCGCGTTTTGGTCAAAAACTGACCCTTAGGAAGCATATACTGGGACTTCTGCATTCAGATTCTTAAAGAGGGCAATTTTCTGAAGATTTTGAGCTGTCTAGGAGCCCTGTAAGTGTTGCAGCTGAATATTGGCAAAAATGTCAATTTTTTTCGCATTTTGGACATTTGACCAACTTTGGGTGACCCTAGGTCAATTCCGACGGCAGATTTGGATTCCTTGTTCAATTTTGAGTGGGAGCACCAAGTTTGAACGGAGTCTTGCGATTAGAAAGGAAGTTATAGCCGTTTTCGTAAAAACCTACACTAATATAAGAAAAAATGGTCAAAATGAAAAAATGCGATTTTAGCCAAACCATGCATCGTAGAGGTCTAATTTTTTGGTGGACGACTTATCTATAGGTAGGTAACATGTGACCAAAATTTGGAGCAAATCGGAGGGGGTCGATGTAACGGGATGTAAAAGTAGGATGGAATGACCCAGTGGTCCCCAGCTGGTCCTAGCGGGGTAGTCCCGGGGAAGGTCCCTTGAGGACGTCCCAGGTACATACTGTTCGGACATGGCCCTTCGATGAGATGACAACACTTTGAAGGAAAAGTCCAAAGTCATGTCTCACTTGGTGAAACGAGACATGCATATGGTCCCGGGCATGGTCCGCGCGGGACCTCCCAGGGACCTCCCCAGGACGTCCGACGGGGACATCGCTACGGTGGACGCGACGTATCATGTAGTCGAGACACTGCACGTCATGTTGCATGAGAGCGTCATGGCACAGTGGATAAGCGCGCTGCTTCACAACCTGAAGGTCGGAGGTTCGACTCTCCCCGAGTGCAACGAGTTTTCATCGCCCGAAGGGAAAGGTGAAGGGTAAGGATGGTCGGGAGTGGCAAATTGAGGTCAAGCTAGCACACTTGCGTTCAAATTTTTAACCAAAATTTTTAACGCTGAACATGGGACGTCCTTCGGTGGTCCGAGGGACGTCCGTCGGGATAGTCCTTACGGACGTTCTGCGGCGGACGTCCGCGGGACGTCCACCCGGGACGTCCGGTTCTGCCATCCGGACTAGCCCACGGGACGTCCGGCCGGGACGTCCCGGTGGTCCCTGTCGGACGTCCGTCGGACGTCCACGGGACTATGTTTTGTTGACTGGGGCTGTGCCTTTGACTCAACGTTCAGAATGCGTATTATTTTTGAAGCATTTGTTGATGCTAGGCGAGTGTTTGTACCTGCGGCCTCCAGTGCTGGAGGTGTGTCTGTCGTAGTAAGCCCAACAACACAACAGTAATGGTAACCAGGCTGTGTCCACTCGTAGGGCCAGAATGGGCAGAAGCAGGAGCACGAGCACGGCCAGGGGCAGGAAGAACCATATGGAGACGAGCCCCGCCATCGGGAGAACTTCCAACAGGCCCCACCACCACGTGCCTGCAAGGAATACAGAGTGAAAGAAATACTGCAAGAAATAACCACAGAAAAAGTATACAAATTCCTGACAAATTTTTTTATCAGGAATTAATTGTACTTTCCAAGTACAACAATTGTTGTACAAAGTACAATTGAACCGGCATGACGAGTGCTGTGCAGTCCAGGCCTCGCTGTGGTTTGTACACTTCTCGTTGCACTTTGAACAATCCCTGTTGCACTTTTACTGTACAGTATTTGTTATACTTTTGTTGTACTATTCACACTTTTTCTTGCAGTGCTCAGCGACTGGGGCATTCAAATTACAATCCACCGTCTAAATTTTTGGCTGAGCGATAGCGAAGCCCTTGCCGTGTTTGGGCGCTCCGAAAAGTGACTGGTCGTGCGTCTGTCTGTCTCTCTGTCTGTATGTAATCACTCACGTTTCTCAGCAACTACTGAACGAATAGTATCCAAATTTCACACCTGATGTCTCCTAAACATCCTACAGGGGGAGTTTATCTTAGATTAACAATTATCATCGTTTGAAATATTCAAAACATCATTTTGAACTTGGTAATTGGCGTGTTTAGGTTGGTAGCAGCGTGTGGCAGACCAATTTCTCATACCGGCTGCCGCGCTTGCAAGCCGTCTGCAAGACGGGACGGCACTTATGCAAATAAACAAACTAAAGAGCAAAGGGGTTCTCAAATAGGTACTGAGATAGTTTTTTAACATTCTAGAATGATTGAAACCCTTCCGGGGTGTCAACAGAGGAAAATATAGAAACTAAATGTGAGAATGGTTTACGTGTTTCGTTCCCCTCTTCCCCCTCCCCCGTCACAGGAGAACAGGTCAGTGCAGTGTAGTTGTGGATTGTAAATAGAATGTTTTCTTTGCCTTTGTGTGCATCTACTGATTTTATTCTCTCTGATACTATCCTAATTTTTAAATTTCATAGTAAATAAAATCAGGTAAATGCATGAATAACTTCTGTTGAAATTAGAAGACATGTTAATTGTCTTGGTTTGTCTCGGGGAAATGACACTCTATTGCAATGCTGCAAGCTAACATAAATATTCTAGTACTTACATCTATTGATTAAAAGAATCCATAAATAGATGTATTTTGTGCAATAAATAATCCATATATTTAGTGCTAACAGATTTTGAACTGATATTGGGTTCAATGAGACGATTCAGGTTTTGAGCGGTGGGTGACTTGGTAATTGCTTTTAATGGGACGATTCCTTTAACTTCACCAAAGCTTGTGTCCAACAGCTGGAACCAAGTATTGGTAATGATTTAAAAGCTGGCTTTCTTAATGTAAGCCCAATGTTAATGCTACACTGTATTCTTTTACTCTAAAGATAAAATATCACGAGGCATGAATAAGGTAAATTAAGTTGGCGTATTGAGCAACAAGTGGCCTCTGCATTTGACTTCATGAGACGATTCACTGAATTTGACACAACTTGTTCTCCGTCAAATGCTTCAGATCAGCCTGCCCTAAACTGAGTCACTTAATGAAAACTATGATTACATATTCCATTCTGTATTGTTTATTTCACTGGTTTTAAATGAAAGAATGACAAAAGGCTTCTCAAATATAACTAATAAATTTGTGAATTCATTAGTTTGAAGAAAAAGATGTATCGAATAGTGAGTCAAGCAGACGAGTAGCTAATTAAGCGATTCAATGCTGGCAATGGAATGTTACTCGACTGAAGGAATCGCATTGGTGTGGCATTAGGGTATTGGTGACGACAAAGGGTGATCCATGAAGACCAACCAAGACCCATTCTTTACCGATTATTGATCAATTTGATATCGATATTTTTCAATCGAATCTCATATTGCTTCTTGGAGTTTTTCGAGTGCTGATTATGAAAACCCCTTCCATTTCTACTCCAGACTTATATTTTCATCTCAAATTAGGTCATTTCGGACCAAAATTTTCAGGTCGAGTTTTATATTGTTTCCTGCAGTGTTTGATGAGCTGAACTCAAAAATAACTTCCAAATTTTTCCCAGACTCACGCTTTACCTAATTTTGACCAAATTTGGACCAAAATTTTTGAATTGAGTTTGATGTTGATCCCAACAGTTTTTTGTGTGCTGATAACGAAAATCACCTCCATTTCGACTCCAGACTTATATTTTCATCCCAAATTAGGTCATTTTGGACCAAAATTTTCAAATAAAGTTTTTTATTGTTTCCTGTAGTTTTTGGTGCGCTGAACTCAAAAATGACTTCCAAATTTTTCCCAGACTCACGCATTACCGAATTTGGACCAATTTTGGACCAATATTTTGGAATCGAGTTTGACGTTGATCCCAACAGTTTTTTGTGTGCTGATAACAAAAATCACTCCCATTTATACCCCAGACCTACATTTCACTCAATATGAGCCCACAAGCTGCAGTCCGAAGTGCACAAATTCGCATCGCTCAGCCACACTACGCGCCCACACAAAACGGCGCGTACCCCTAGTTAAATGAATGAGGGATTCTCAACCATTAACGCCTTACCGTACACCCCACAAGTATGCTGCGGGTTCATTGTAACTGGGCTGTCTGGCGGGGAGTGAGGAGGCCTCAGGACGCAAGCAGCGATAAAAGTCTTGTTTACACGCTGAAAGGCATCGTCTTGCCAGGTGTAAGCAGATACAGTCAAAGCGTAAATTAACTTTGACGGAAATACAATGCTTTATCTCACTGATACTTTGACATAGTGACAAATGTCCAAATTTTTGATACATTGAGAAGAAATACATTGAGAAGAGGCTGCTTTATAGAACTTTTGATTTACTATCGCCTGGTAAAAAGCATGTATCGATATCTGTACTAGATTCGGCGCAGGAAATTACTTCAAAATGACGAAAGTCCGCCGTACTTTGACAAAGACGAAAGTCCAACCGTAAGGGAGTATGGGGCAATTTGTAACAGGGGCGATTCGTAACAAATGCGTTTATTAATTTGAGTGGAGGGAGCAGAGGAAAATCTGAGTTTGGCCCCTCTTTCGCTTCAAGTACAGGGTCCTTGAACAATCGAAGCGGATGTGATCGGTGCTCAGGTATAGTTTTGGAGGGCGTCTGAAATATAGGGTACACCGAAATTTCGGCAAACAGGCAAATCTTTTATTTTGAGTTCTAGGAAGTTTCTGTCTGAGGCTCCCCAGGTATGAATCACCATCGAAGTACCGTTGGGGCCTTGAAGCGTGACCCCTTTACAATGTTAACACGTGGCATAAGTTGCTTTTACTTTGTCCAGTGATAGTTAGGGACGGATTTCTTGCGTATCAGGCATTTGGGGTGATTCGTAACAGACCCGTATAAAAACAAGAATGTAAGTAGTTTTTGCTGTTAAATGCTTGAATTATTTCTCGAATCATCTGCTGTTTTATTCCAATACATTAACACAGCTCGAAATGCATTTTAAAGCGAGTTATTCTATGATTTCCTCTAAAATTGAAAAAAGTGAGGTTAGGATCGACAAAGCCTATCAGTTAATGCTCAGGCGGGCAACGGCATCTTGTAATGTAGATTTTTAGACGTCCGCAGGACACCCGAAGAACAACTGGTGGAGGAGATACCATTCCCGACGATGTTTCATTTAATGTGTAGGATGTTATGAAAAGCCCCATGGCTGTTACAAATCACCCCATGCTGGGGCGATTCGTAACAGCATGCAAGGGTTTGGAAAACGTCTTAGATTTCAAAGATTACGGACTTCAGATTGATCCAATGGAGCTGCACAGTCTAGATGAAGGGCCAGACTGCTCAACTGGCACAAGTTTGACACCGATATGCAGAATGTTCTTAATTTTGTATAGGGAATTCCGAAATCTGTTACAAATCGCCCTATACTCCCTTACTTTGACAAAATGACGTCCCAACTGCAAAAACGGGTATAGTCTATCAGTGCGTACCCAATAAGAGGAATATACATGAGATCAGTGCCGGCATGAACATGGAACATGCCCGGGTTAAAAACTTCCATTTATTTTGTGTCATCAGTAAAGGTGAACTTTCGCCATTCTGTCGAATTGCTCATGGACTTTCGTCGTTTTGTCAAAGTACGTTTGGACTTTCGTCGTTTTGTCAAAGTATGGTTGGACTTTCGTCGTTTTGTCAAAGTGCGGTTGGACTTTCGTCCATTTGGCCTCATTTTCGTACGCTGAGACATGACGAATGTCCACATCTCGGGAACCAAGCTGCCGATTGCAACGGCTCTTGAACCCAAAGAACACTTATCCTTCAGGATTCTGTGGTATAAAATTCTACCATCAAATCCAATACCTCTATCTTGCAGCTCAATTTTTCGACTTAATTTGGCTCTCCTGAAAAATCAGATATTGTGGACATTCGTCACTGTGTCAAAGTACCAGTGATCTGTTGGGTCGTGAATTTGTAAATATTAGCGCCGTGCGAGGGGGGAAATGGGTGGGGAGGGGGAAGCTCCTGGACCAGGGTAAGAATTCCAGAAAAAGTAGCGATACAAATGAGTCCTTTCCCGTTCATTTCTTCATCAGAAGGCTGGCACTCCCGATCAAACATCAAACCAATTGGCAAGCAGCAGAAAGCGCTACAGTGGCAGTGGTCAAGTGACAGTTATTGCAGTGACAGCTAGTCTAATATTGAATTGACTTGAGGATGCTGCAGAGCGATTCTTACGTTTCGGGGTAGTTCTGGCGGATTTGCCGAAAGTGAGAAATATTCAATTAAGTTTTTCTGATTTTTGGGGTCCTGGATGATACTAGAGTTATGGCAATGGTATTTATAGTAAAGACCTTGTACTACCTTCCTAAAAACATGAGCCATAAGGTATTCCCATACGTTTTAGTGGGTGTTTTGATCACGGAAATTACGTTATCACGGAAGTTACACTGTTATTCAAACTGCGATAACCACTGTCTATATTTTGCAATAAAAAACTTATCACATTTTTTTGCTATGATGACAACTAAATATCTGCAATAAAAAAATTTATAGCTAAATTTTGCAATAAAGTATCACACTTTTGCGATAATGACAACAAAGAAAACGCAACAAAAAGTTATCGCAGAAAAAAATGTGATAAAAGTTACTACAAAACGCTCTATTATCGCAAAAATTATGGGGTGTTCATTGCAAAAAAAGTGCAATAAAAAAATTATCGCACTCCAGGATGCGATAAATCGTGGGAATCGCAAACTGGGGTATCCCCAACTGTCCACCAATCCAACTTCCCCCCAAGACAAACTATCCACCAATAAATCTGTTCCCCATTTAAAACGGATTATTTGACAATTTATTTAATTTTTGGTTCCTCCATTTAAAACTAAATAATAAGAATGAAAAATGCAAAATAAATGAGCTGAGCTCACTACTTTCCGTGTAAGTTGCCCTAAATAATTTTTAAAAATTATCAAATAATTATAAATAATTTCTAAAAATTATTTTAAAAACGTGGGGGCATAAATATGCTGCCGTAATGTCACTGTGGACACTATGAAAAATTTCCAAGGCTTAAAACCAGGTGACAGGCTGCCTCTAAGCTAGAGAGCCATCTAGGCTCCGTACTCTTGGCCGAAAGGTTCCGTCACTATGAAAAAGAGCGCAACCAGTCCCAGGCAGACCGCGCAGTCACGGTTACGGTGAGCTTGGCGTACTCCAGGTTGTGAGGCCCTTGAGTCGTTCAAGCACGCCGAATAGGCCGCGCCGCAGGTAGCGTACGGTTGAGGCGTGCTTGGCGGCCTCCAGGTTGTGAGGCCTTTGAGTGGCACTTGGCACTAGCACGCCGCCTAGGCCGCGCCGCAGCCAGCGTGTCCTCCAGGCGCGCCGCCACCACCGTTGAGGCGTGCTTGGCGTCCTCCAGGTTGTTGGGCCCTTTAATCACGCTAGCACGTCGCCTAGGCCGCGCCGCAGCCAGCGTGTCCTCCAGGCGCCCCTGTCATTCGTGCCGCATTCAGCCTCACCACCTGGGTGACGGCGTTCATGGCCTCCGATGGCATGCATAACCTTCAGTCGTGAAGCACGCCACCGCGGACGCGCCGCAGCCAGCCTAGCCTGTCCTCCATGCGCTACGCCACCACTGTTGAGGCGTGCTTTCTAATTGCCTAGTTTCTACCGAAACTGGCATGTTTTGTAATATTAAAAATGCATCCATGGGATGTGCGTCCGTGAGTCCACGTTCCTGCCTTTAGGGTAGTATAGAAAGAGTGAAATTTCAAAAAGATTTCAAAGATTCAACAGTGAACAGGGGAAAAGGAAGACGACTCAGCAATAAATGTTTTCAAAAGAACTTGCAACTCGTCGGGAACCCCTGCACCCCCTGTGCGTCGTCACTCCATCTCCCTCACACCCCCATGGAATGTCTCGCGAGTGCGAGAGAGACGGAGTGCCGATAGGCACTAGCGGGTGCAGCCGGCCCCGGCTGCTGCTGCGCGTCGTCGCGCGCATCTCAGCCGAGGCCGCCAGGTAGACAGGGAAGCATTTCAGATATCTGCAATGCGAACGGCGGTTTGTGCTACAAATTGGTAACCGGCCGTTTTAGACTAATTCGACCCCGCTGAACACGAATTGCCCGGTTACCAAGCTCGATTTTTTCATTTAAGCCCTTAAATCCAAGATGGCGGCCAAAATGGCGCCCAAAATGCCCGAATCGCAGTTCTAACGCGCTGTGAAGCCCACACTCACGAGTTGTTGGTTGGTTTTCAGTTAGATTACCATTCAAGTAACGTGATGGGAGATTTTAGAGCCATGGGCATGAGTGTTGGGGGCCCAAATGCGAAGATGGCGTCCGAAAACTTCAAAAATCGCTTAAAACGTCACATTTTGACCGTTTTTGCGATAATTTGCTGATTCTGTGATTGTTTTGGGTCTTCCTTCGACTAGATAAACCAGATTTGAAGTTTGCATGACGTGTTGTCACATATGCTAGGGGCCAACAGGCCAAGATGGCGTCCGACAACGTCAAAAATCGCTTAAAACATCTTATTTTGACCAATTTTGCGGTAATTTGCTGATTCTGTGAGTGTCTAAGGTCTTCCTTGGACTAGATAAACCAGATTGTAAGTTTGCATGACCTGTTGTCACATAAGCTAGGGGCCTAGAGGCCAAGATGGCGTCCGGAAACCTCCAAAATCGCTCCAAAGTACACTTTTCCTATTTTTGGCTATTCAGCACGTTCTGTATCTCCCGTATCTCCTCGATCCTAAAGCCTGAATGGATCAGGGTGGCATAAGGCGTATATGGAATGTCAAAACCAAATCAAATCGTAAAAACAAATCAATGTTCTATTTTCTAATGTTTTAGAAAAATAAGGTTTCAAATGAGTAGTTTGTTAAGTGTTCTAACAGCAACACTGGAGTTATAGTTTCATTACCTGAAATCGACAGTGACCCAAACGGCGACGTGTGATGATCCTCTTTTAAATTTCTTACTCCACTCTTAATGTCTTACGATGAAATTTTACCTATGTTATTTGTATGTTGCAGTTAACGAAGCGATATTCCTTCGTAATACGAATCTTCTTAGCTTTTTCGTTGTAAGATACGAAGAAAAACTTTCGTAATATGAAGAAAAACCACCATCGTATTATGGGAAATTTCT